AATAATTGCAGACTGCGTTTTGGAGAAGGCTGCCAACAGTTTTCATGGCTCTAATTCAGTCTCAGAGCTCAGATTAACTAGCGTAAGCGTCCCAAAGTGCCTTCCATCCGTAATCAATTTCTCTGTGTCCAATGTCATTATTCTATTTATTTTTATTTTGGTGCATCATTATGGTGGTTAATCCTTTTCACATGGTTTGTCTTACTGAAGTTCCCAAAATAAAGTTTGATATTAAAGACAGATGACAGGCAGGCTGCTTAGAAAGACTATTTCTTTTTCAGCTCTGTGAGTATTATGCAGTTCTAGTTGTTGACAGTAGCGGTGGCACGATTCTCGCTGCAATTTGTGCAGATTCCAGTCAATAACAGTGTCTTGTTGAAATATGCATTAAAAAGTCCATAACATTAGTGTAATGGGCACACTCCAACACATCTCTCTGGTCTGGCTTCCTCATAAAGATTTTAAATGACTGTCTTAATTGGATCCTAATATTAACAGGAATATTACATAAAGCTAAATGAGGACATAAACTCCAACTGAAAGCTACTTCCACCCAAGCCCTTGCTCTCTGGTCCGCAGAGGAGCAAGGGAAAGGAACATTTCCTTTCTCCATCCCGATTATATTGGCTGCTCTTTTTTAAGTTTTCTACAATGAATGATTCCTTTTTTTTTTTTTTTTTTTTTTTTTTCCATAACAAAAGCTTCAAACCTATCACAGAAAACAAGAAATTATCTTGCTCAAGATGAATGCACAGAAATCATGATTCTTCGATCGAAGCACTAAGAAACTGATGAGACAACCTATATTACAGTAGATTAATTTAGTCACTTCTTTTTTTTTTTCTTTTAAGCTGATGATTCTGTTCTAATGCGCTACTACAGAAGAATCCAAAAAGAAGTCTACTGCTGAATGCCACTGTACATCTTCTCCATACAATAACAACCAAGACCTATTCTGCCTCCTTTAACTAACATCCAGACACCCCATCTAGATAAGTCCCATTACAATTATCCTTGTAAAGCATATCTATATATACAAAGTTCTGGCAAAGAAGCCCTAGTTAGGTCAGTTGGGACCTTCCTTGTGTAGTGATGCAGACCAAGCAGAGTTGTGTCTGCACAGTTCTATTGTTTCCCCTTTTGTTTCCACATCGCAGCATGCTCAGACAAAGCTATTTTGGTGCTGTACTGATCAAACTAATTTTTTTTCCTTTGATAATAATATGAAATATGATAGGATAATAGGGTTGTTATGTAATCAAAGTTGACAGCAGGGAGCTAAATTTGTGTTGTTTTGATGAAGCACATTAGTGTGACATAAATAGATTAATCTGATTTATTATTATTATTTCTAATGCTTAATAATAGGGGAAATGAGACTCTGGGGAATGACAGTGCATCACAAAGTGCTATCAAAAGTCTGCGTGCTATGGAAACATAGGTTAGGTACTTTGGATATTAGAATGTCTTCTCATGACTAGACCTGCTTCTGAAGAGTGACTAGACAGCAAGAAAGGCTCTCCTGAAAGAAATAATACCTTAAGTGGAATAAAACCAACAGCGTACCAGAGAAAATATGCTGTGAAAAGCAGCACTGTGGAAGAAAGCTGATATTCACATAGGTCAGTAAGTAGTCAGAAATGGAACAGGCAAAAATCACCTTTCACTGACTGATTTTGCATGTTCTGCTGGAAAGCTGGTATTAACCCCTGACAAAAGCAACTTTTTTATAGTGCTGCCTGTTCTAGCTCCAGACAGCCCAAGTCATTATTCACACATCAGTCAAGTACCACCAAAAAAAAGAGAGAGAGAAGCATTTTCAGCATATTTTGCCTGGTTTACCGAGGCTTCACACAAGCATTCTTGTATCTGTGGCTGCTCACAAAGAAAAGTTCTGTAGGAGTTCATGTGAGTATCTGAATGCAAGGAGGCTTGCAAAGAAAATGTCCTGCCACTTCAAAATCTCATGTGCACCAGAAATACAGAATGGACAGAATCGTGAGTTCTTCAGACAGAAAGTAGAACCATATGAAAATAGTTTTAAATCCTAAGGAATGCAGACACTTTTCCCAAATGCCCTCCCACAAACTCACCGTCTGAAAAGCATCACTGTGGATATGGCCCCTTCATATCAGCACACATACATTTCGTTATCCACATCCAGAAACTGTGACTACGCTACACAAGAGCATTTAGAAAGCCACTGTGTTTTAACACAAAGACTCCAATTGGCAGACAGCCCATGACCCACTAGATAAGCTGCTCCCCTGGTTAAATACCACCTGTACTAAAATATACCCTTCATTTAACTTCGTTTATGGTTTCAGAGAAGAGAATGAGTAATAACTCAGCTGGAATATAGCTTTGAAATTCTGGAGTTCAACAAGATTTACAGGACATTTAAAATTATTTTTGTCTGCAGCAGAATTTTCTTTTTCTAAAAGGAAGAAATGAAAGGCGAAGCGATGCTTTCAAAAACTAACTGCTTTTTGACCAAACTGTTCAAAGTTTTGGTTACAAGTCCTGTTACAAACGTTTTTCTTTAATAGGCAGACAGCATTTCACCCTCCTGAAATCCGTAACTTCCCGAAGATTTCCTGCTTTTCTCAAGTGTCGTGTATACATCAGCACTTCTACATGATGTGGACATGTATATACTCTTTCTTTTCTCCTTAGCAGGAAAAGAAACCTACAATTATTTGCAGTTCTGGGATACTGTCAGCAAAGCTATCAAAGAGAATTTGACAGCACTGTGAACCCTATGGGCCACTCTTCAGAAACTAGCTTCTAGGTGGTTTTGACTGGAGTGCTTTAATACATCCTGAAGCTGCTTTTCGAGGTACTCTTGCTTCAACATTTTTGCCATCAGCACTTGCCTCAGGACATGGTGCAAGCAGCACATCATTAATGCATCCAGCATGCTCTCCTACTACACTGACAAAAGTTATTCCCATATGCTAGGCTGGAAAAGTTCATTCTCATCCATCCTCATTACAAATTCTAAGTAATCTAAATGGAGATTTTCATGCCACAGCATTTTAAAATCCCAAAGGAAGTTACACGTTGAACTTAAAGGTATGGATCCTTGCTTTTCATTTACTTGTTGAAACACAAATATCAAAATTAGGAGAACACAAATGTGTTTGATATTGTTAATAACTTAAGGTCAAGGAGAACAGAAAAAGAAGGGCATTCCTTATTTCTCCCTTTTAATGCTCTTTATAGATGCCCTTTTGAAAGGATATCAATGTCCATTAGCACACAGAGCTTAGAGCTGGGTTTTTTTGTGAAAACACACTATCTACCAAAAAAAAAAAGAAGTTAAATATAGAGGATTATTGCTTTTACACTGAAAGCACAAAATGGTAGAATCAGCAGGAAGTGCATAGTGCCAAAAAAAGATGTGCTTTGTATGACAAATTAACACAGAAGGCGATTTAAAAGATAGGATTAAATCAAAGACAATGTTGCAGGTTTATAAAATTCCCAGTCCTGCCCCCGTCAAATCAAAGATAAATCTCCCAAATCACTAAATCTTATGTAATCACTGTAAATTCCTATTGTCTTAAAAGGGAGCTGGATTAGGCCTCTAATTTGGTTTTGTAAAATCTGTTTGGTCCAGATGAGTAACCAAGCAATGGACGATCTCCAAGGAACAACTCTATCACATGGTCTCAACATCGTCTACTATAGCTTGCCAATGCAATTACTCCCAGTGGTAACCTCTAAATACTGGAGTAAAGCTGATTTTGCCCATGAGCGCTAAATGCATTTTGCCTTTCCACATAGGAAAGAAGCAATATCACATCTAATCTCACAAGTTCCCAGTGAGCCAAACACAAGATACTGTCCCTTGAATTCTTCCTGAGACCAACAAAGGCTTTCCATTATTTACAAATCAAAAGCATTTAGAGACAATCATCTTTATTTTTTATTTAAAACAAGGAATGCTCTGTCACTATTATATAAGAAAAAATATACACCCACCTATTTATACCCATCCTAATCCAAGCATTCCAAAAAATAGAATTCCTATTCATGCAGGTAATTGCTGCACAATAAAATAATAATAATAAAATAAAAATAATATTATTAATAATAATTTTTATAAATAAAATAAAAACAACAAAACACACTCCTTAGTTCCAACAGGTTTTCCAATTTACCTTAAATAATTCCATCTGCAAATTGTTGGAACAGTTTCAAACAGTGAAAGTAAATATAGTTAAATCAATAGGATTACTTGCTTTTGATTATTAATTCCATTGCTAGTTTTTTCTTGTGTTTTTATTATGCATACCAGTTTTACAAAGTGCATGCTCTATTTTACTTTTTAAATTTTGAACTGGCAAGTTAAAATGATCCATCATTTCCTGCCTTTTTGTAATGATAATACAATCTAAAATCTAGCATTAAAAAATTTACCATGATACACCTGGTATATTGACTGCTTATGGCGCATGCTTGTCTTGGCAAATAAAAAAAACAAATTGGCTCCCCTCCCCACCTCCCCATTCTGTTTGGAAGCAATCGAAAAGATAAAAGCAGGCTGGAACACAATTGCCTCAAGGGAAAAAAAATAATACCTGATGCTTTAATTTTTGTCGCATGGCACTAGTTGTGGAATTGCACGCTCACACACCCACACACACCCAACACACACACAAGCACACACGCACGCTGCAACCTGCCCATGAGGAAAATAGTTTATTAGGTCAGGAGTGCCAGTGGCACATGAAGGCTCCCAGCTGTGTGTGCAACTTTGGATTTGGTACCCACTTCACGTCACCTTGAATCCTCTGACATCCACCGAGGGGGTAATGTAAGGCATACTTTGCTGGAACAGTAGTAATCCATGCTTCATGCTCAAGAGCTGAGTCTCAGAGGAGGACTGGCTTTCTCTACTCCCTTTGGCCTCACTCCGTCTCACTCAAGGAACGGAAAAAACAAAACAACAGAGAAGGACTGGAGAAAACAAGGAAAGCAAAAGACAAATCACTTTAAATGGACTTTCGCCTTCTCATCAGCCTGTGGTTATCTGTAAAGCTGTGCAACCCAGGTGAGATGGAGCTGACAGGAGATGGGAAAAGGCTGTTTTTTAATGTGCTTGGCGAGATCTCCTCTATCTTGTAAGAGATGGAGTGAAAGTACTGGGGGTTCAGCTTCGAGCTGAACGAATTTTGGTGGGACACCACCCGGCTGGTGTACTCATGGGACCTGTAACACATGCAGGAACAAACTGACTGAAGGTCTGTTACTTCGGCCTTGTACCGTGGCCGACCATGCTGGGAGTCCTCTTGGATGTGGATAATCATGCTGTTGCGGTTCCCTGCCAGGGACGCCCGTTCCTCAGCATCCCGCCTCTCGTCCTCACTGTTCATGGTTAAGAACCTGAGAACAACCAGATTTAGAAATGCCCCAATGACTGTCAACCCCACTAGAATGTACATAAAGCTAAAAGCCACATAGAGAGGCTTCTTTTGAAGGGCCCCTTTGGTCTGCAGGGCCACATAGTCTCCAAAACCTATCGTAGTCAATGTTATAAAGCAGTAATAGTAAGCATGGAAAAAGCTCCATTCCTCGTACTGGGAAAAGGCTGCTGCTCCAATGCAGAGTGTTCCCATGCAGGAGAAGAAACCCACAGTGACCATGTTTTCCATGGAGACCTCGGTGCTCCTCATCCCACAGCACTTTTTGATGCGTTTCAAGAGGTACTTGACGAAGGTGTTCATGCGCTCGCCCAAGCTCTGGAACATGACGAGTGTCAGTGGGATCCCCAGGACCGCGTAGAACATGCAAAAGGCCTTTCCTGCGTCTGTTCCTGGGGCAGCATGTCCGTAACCTGGGAGGGGGAATGAAAACACAGGACAGTCAGCAATTAGTTGATCACTAACAGCTCCCTGTTCAGACAGGCTGCACAAATCACAGTGACTCCAATGCTGCAGGCAGGTCCAAAGCAACAGCGGCTATGAGGGCATCACCGTTACAGGATTTTCACATTTTCCTCACATGTATCCCCCAGCCACAGCGAGCAATACACATTAAAATAGAATTGTACACACAGGACTGGGAAAGATGGAAGAATCAGCAATCCACCTTACTTCTGCAGTCTTCTAAATACTGCATTTATTTGCTAAAGAAATTTCATGTCCATCCTGCATCACACACAGTACAGGAAATACTGAAAATAGGTGACCTCGACAATATTTCTGAAAGGAGTTGGTGTTGCCCTGCCCCAAAACCAGAGTACACCAATAGCATCTGAATTCTGTGTCTGCTGGAAAGGGTGAGTCAACAGCACTGTTGCCAGCAGACACAGATCAATGGAAGTCTTTTTAAAACTGTCTTCCATACAGAATAAACCTTTCTCACAGGCACCATTCTGAAAGCCATTCACTTCTGAAAACTGGAATGCCATAGGATTTTAGGGGTTTACTATCTGCTCCCCCTTCAGTTACTGAAGAATAAAGAACTTACCAGCATCTCTTAAGAGTTTTACAGCTTTTTCAAACAATCTGGGAAATATTATTTTGCCACAATGCTAAACTAATCCGGGACAGAGAATGTTCACAGCATATTTTCCAGAAAGTAAAATCACAGCTAGACCCTCATTCTAAATCCAACAAGCGTAGGATTTCAAAATGATGTCAATTTTTTCACATTACACTGCTTTACATTTCATAAGATTGCAAGTGATAGTACCGAAGCTTCCAAAATAGGATGGCTGGGAATCATGCAGACATGGTATGCAATGACCATGTGGGTACCACTATATAGATTTCCCTTAAAGACAATGAATAGAAATCCATACTTCTCAAGTGCAGTACTTCTCATCTACATCTAGATGCCTAAAACAAGTCACTAACTTATTCTCAGGATACACCTATTTCTCTACAGTGATTATAACTGAAATCGCACAACAGACTTCAGCTGAAGATTAAAATACATAAATCTAGGTATCTACATGTGTGCTAAGAGTCCAGGGTACTTTTACAGTCAACGAAGATTTAATAAAAATAGGCAGCGATGAGTTACTTAACTGCCATTCCAACACCTGTCTACTGTACATTACGCTGTAGAGACACTACTGACTGTTCCATTGACTGTATTCTCTAGGTCCCCATTAGACTGAGTAGATACCTAATGACTTCAGAAGATTCTAGGTATCTACTGCACAGGCTCAGTACCACATGGAAACACCCCAACATCAGCATCTTCATCAAAAGCACAGCTCCACCTTCAGTGACTATCACAACGTAGGTGCCTGCATTGTAGATACTGAAGATTTAAATCCACACAGAGGCATCTAGCATAACTTGAAACCCCTCAGTTACCATGATATCCATACAGGGATTGTTAAAGAAACACTTGGTATACAGCCGACAAACTTCAAAATGAAAAGCAACAACAGAACAAAGGAGATAAAATGAAAGAACCAGCAAGAACGTCCTCCAAAAAGTTACACTTACTTCCTTAGCTCAGTTGCTAGTTATTGGGAAATGCATGGGAGGTAAGAAATAATTTGCAAACAAAATATATAGATTAAAAACAGGAAACTCTTTTCAGGTGACAAAAAAATTGTTTCACCAGTTATAATGGGATAGGTAGCCTGCTCTTTGTAAAAAGCAGTTTCCAAATTACCTGTAAGGGGAAGTGTCTTCAATAGATGGATGCTGAATTTGTTCCACCTGACTGTCCCTCAATAAAGGCTATAATTGCCTCTCATTACTAAGCTTCTGAACTACAGGGGTGTTAATTAAAGCAGGGACATCTTCTCATTTTATAGTTTTAGTTACAGCTGATAAAGAGAAGGAAAGCTTCAGAAAATGTTATTTTCCAGATGGTTACAGAGATGGCAGTTGGTGGAAACAGCTTTCAGTTTGGGTTCTAAAGAAAAGGGTTGGGGTGAAAAAAGACTTCTTTTGATATCCTATATTCCTATATATTCTATTCTAATATATAGGATATCCTATATCCTATATATTGATATACTATATCCCTCTTACTAGAGATATCCACAGAGACAGATTAGAGATATTATAAAACATTAATATTGTATACTTTCACACTACTTCATTGTTGAACTTCTAAGATTTATCAGAGACTTTGTAATTAACTCAAATTTAGTACTCTTAAGAAAGGAATATACTATATCCTTGTTCCACAGATAGCAATGCACAGACACAAGCAGGCTGTAATTTCTGTCCAGTTCACATAAGTAGACAAAAATCCAGAAATCTGTATTTCTATTTCATCCCATTCCATACTCAATACTACAATATCAGATACATGCCTTTTACCATATTTTGACTACGACGTTGGAGAAAAGGAAGGACTTCAGTCATGAAGCTGGCATTAGATTTTGCAAATACTTTCATACATAGGGGATCAGAGAAAAATGCATTTCTCTAGTGTAATGCTGCTTTATGGAATAGTTACCTTAGTCACTGACTTCAGCAATCGAGAAAGAGAGAAATCCAAACACACGAAAGAAAGACTAAGCTCTCTATTTAAGAATAATATTTGAAAAGCAAGCTCCGTCAGTGCATGCTCTCTGAAATTCAGTATATCTCAAATCTAAAACAAAACACCATTGCCTTAACATCAGAGTGCCCCTACGAAAATTGAGAAGGTCAGTAATTGCAAGAGCAAGAGGGGCACAAAAACATCAAATATCTCCCTACAATGCATTGCAGCTTACTTGTGTCAGGGAAAGACAGAAGCAGAAGAAACTGCTTTGGTAGCAGATTTCAGCCTTTAAGTTCAGCATAACTTCCTCCACAAAAATGCTACTGCCCTTTGCCAAAGTGTAAAGACATGGCTCCATGTGAACTACAACGAATGCAAGAATGCAAGGCTTCAAGAGAAATATCAAGGTGAAACACAACACTGGTATTTCTTATTCTTCTGCGACTAAGGAGGAAGACCAAACAGAAGTCCTTGAATATGAGATACAGCAAATGCATCACATAATAAGCCAAGAAACTGGGATAGCAGTGAAAAATATATAGAAAAGTCACTGGGTCACTGCTCGGTTAATACTAGCTATACTCCTCGAGTACACTATCAAGTTTGCTGAGGTCCCACAATACAGAAATATGACCTCAGCAGGGAGATTCATCTACTATTCAATGAGATATCATTTGAATGATCAACAACAGCCATTAGTAGTCTCTCTTTTATAATCCCTCTCAGATGGTTTGGCTTTCAAGACAGAACTCATTTGGTTTGGCATGAAGAAGAACAGTTAAGCATGAAGAAATATAGTCTCAAAGTGTCATTCCAGTTCTGGAGGATGGAGCACCAATCCATCACAAAAACTATCTTCTCCCAGTTACGGAAGAGCTGTGCTACAAGCATCAAGCAGAACTGCAGGAAGGTGTAGGCAGGACAGACAAAGAGTCAGAGCACGGAGGCTGACACCAGATTAATACTCTGTTGATGGCTTTTCTGCCATTAATTTTTTCCAGCCCTTCTGTACTATTCGACCGTACCTCTTAAAGACCAAGTGCACCAGTATAAAAACTGTTTTCTTGCTTTCAAGAGCGTAGCTATGAAAGCCAATGGAAAATCCACTCAGCCTCCTTCAACTATATTTTCCATGGTAGCTTTCAAATGAGACACAGAATGAAACACTCCATTACAATTCACTTGTGAGGTGGATAACCCCAACTGCTTCCTTTCACTTCCTAAGGGACACTGTGCAATACAGTATGCAGAAGAACTCAGTGCTGATTCACCCACCCTGAATCCATCAGTGACCAAAAGAAGATGGACAGGGAAGAGTATAAGAACAGTGTGACTATATGCAACATTATGCCTCCGAGTATTCAAGTACCCAGTTTTCTTCAGGTGCTCATGGACTTCCAAAGCCAGATATGGTTGCACTGATTTTAGTAATGAATAATGAATTTCTCACCCATGGCTTTGGGTATTCCTCCTTCAACCTGTATAAACTTTCAGCAACTGCAGCAAGAAGGTCTGTACATCAACAAAAAAATTACCATCACTTTTCATTCTAAAATTCTCTCCCACTGTTACTTGAATCCCCACTACCACTATGGAAGAGACCAGTGACAGTCATTCTTAACCTTCTTTGTGCCACTCATGAATTTATTTACATTCTCAAGACAAGTGTCATGCCTTGGTATCTTACACTCGGGCCCTAAGCAAATATTTCTGGCACTGACAGTCTCACGTGGATAGAGCAGATTGCTTAGATCTACATCAGTGATCTTTGCACCATGCTCAGCTGCAGGGTACAGACAGGCCCAGAAGATCTGTCATGTCTTCCAACATAACTTCTCCTGAATAATACTTTACTTCTAGAGCAAACATCATCTGAATAAACAGTGCTTTTGCAGCGATGCAGACTACAAAGAACAAATGAATATACAACAAAAATAAAGAATTATTGGGAAAACTCCTGAATACTTTTAGTATGTTGTAACTACCTCTAAGACTGCACGGTGATTGCAGTGCTAGCAAACTAAACTGGGACAAGGTGTTGATTCCAGCACCAACCTGTGGCTATCCACACTGTTATATCAGCATAGATCCCATCATTCCACCACGTTTTTAACTTGGGCCAATCAGTATTGTCCAGATGTGTCTCTAGATGAGCACTGGTACCAGACCAAAATCTCAGTCATCGTTAAAGACTAAAAATGAAATGTGGCAGTGATAAGCTACTTATAGTTTATGTTCAGGAGAGTGTGTAGCTGCAGTGTGGCCAAGCCTCAACTTCACATTCAGCGTACAACAACTTTTAGATGTAATGAATCTTGAAGCAACACTGTGTTATTCATGAGGGATGTTTTTTTCACTCAGGAGTAGATTTCT